CGTTACTATTTACTCAAAGCATAAAAAGGATTTAAATTTTTCAGATTTTTAATAGCCTTCTCTCAGAAGTCATATTGTCAGCCAAGTATATTATCACAGTTTGCCCTTGAACTTTGTTTCTGAAAAAGTCTTCTGGCCTCTAACAAGTGTTTTCACCCTCATTTATGTCATAAACATGAAAGACTAAGTCTTTTTTTTTTTTTTTTTTTTCCTCCGGTACCGGGAACCGAACTCACAACCTTGCGCTTGCCAGGCAGGCGCTTTTGCCGCTGAGCTAAATCCCCAGCCCCTGAAAGACTAATTCTTGTTTTCTTTTTTTCTTTTAACCTTCTTGACATTAAATTTCCTGAGTTTGGTTTCCAGAGAGTCACTGAGGGGTTGAGGGGCCTGGAAAGTTAGAATTCTTGATGGGTGATAGAGATTGATTATTGAGAAATTGGCCATTAACAGAAGAAAGTTATGGATGAAAAAATCCGACAAAAAAGTCCATAAGTTGAATTAATAGCTGAGCAAGAGTTGAAAAACTATTTGAGCTCATCACTACAATCTATCTCATCTACCTTAATCTGCCTTTTCACTTAGAGAAATATTTTTAAACTTTGACAGGAGTGTTACAATACTGCAGTCGCAGATCTACTAGATATTTTCTTGCATGGATACAAAGAGATACATTTGAAAAGACAGCATGCAGTGTGCTAATGAAAACACTATCAAAATTGTAACATTTATGTGATGGTGGATAACTAAAATTTCTCCTATATACTATATCCATAAAGGACAACACCTTGTTCTAAATCGTTATAGAGCAGATTAACCATTGCCAAGTTGTGTATTTTGTGTCTAAAAGAGAATCATGACAGTGTTGTCTGTTAGTAATATTTATCTAAACTAAACAGCCATAGTATTTCCTCAAATAATTGTTTTCCTCTCTGAAAACTTCAGTTCACTGATATATTATCAATCACTTAGAAGAGTGTACCAGGGATTTTGAGAATATATATTGAAATGAAATTGCTTGTGCAAGTGCTAGCAACTGACACAGTGAAAAAGAGAAAGAGCAGCCAGATATTATCTGAAAAATGTCAGGAATGGACTTTTTATTTTTTAAATCCCTGGAGTTTTGCTTGAAGACTTTTGGGGATCTGTTAATAGTACATGTACATAGTAGTTAAATTGTCTGCTAATAGAATTATTCCTGATTACTAAGATGCAGCTCGATAAATCACTATTTTATGTAGGCATTTCATGGCTTGAACAAGTCCATGAACTCTGCTAGAAGAAGGGAAGAGGTGAAAAGAGGCAGGAAGAATCTGAGCAGCCCAGCGTGTCAGTGGCTTTGTATGCATGATCTCACACACGTCTGTGCAATAATATCCCCTTCAAAGACAGGAAGCCAAGCTCCGAGGGGCTTCACAGCCGCCCAACTCTTACATCCCTGTGGAGTCAGGGGGCAGTGTTTGTCTCTGTCTGTGTTGCTGCTTCCCAGGTCTGCCTGTTACGTACTGCCTAAAAACCTGGAATCTTTCGTGAACAGGGAGGGGAAAGGTGTTTGAAAGGAGGGGACAGGAATGGGGAAAACAAAAGAGGAATCAAGCTATATTATGTATAGATTCAAATTCCTAATAATGAAGGTGGTCATTCTGTATACCTACATTGTAGCAATAAATTTAAATAAAAAATAAAAACGAACAAAAAACCCTCCTGGAGTCAACACTACATGAGATTTAAGGGTCTCCCTTTAACAATCAAAGAGGCTTTAAGTTGGCTTTTATAAATCAAGCTGAATATTAGCTGAGGACACATGAATCCACATTTTCAAATAAACTGTATCCAAACACATATGCAAATATATATGTTTAACTCCATGAACTCAGAGCAGGCTTTTGTCCTTCCTTCTGAGCCAGATACTTGTAAAGGTTACCAGCAACCCCTGTGTTGCTAACTCCAGTGGCAATCTTAAGCTGTGGTACCTAATCTATGAACAGGATTTGATGCAAATTTCCCTTCCTTCTTTCCTTTTTTTTTTTAAAAACTCTAGCCTTTCTTAAATCTATTTTCTGTCTATGCTAACTCTCCAGCTAGTCACCAGACTTTAAATAGCTATGCTGATCACTCTGAACTTTCTCCAGGATTGCTCAGTTGCCTACGTGACATTGCCACTTGTGTGTCTAAATGGCCATCACCCACTTGATTCAGTTACGGCTGAGTTTCAAATCACTTCCCCAAACAAGCTCTTTCCATGATCATCTCTATCTTAGGAAACGACAAACCCATCTTTACAGTTGCTCAAACCAAAGCTTTGGGTATCATCCTCGATATCTTTCCTTTTCCTTTACCCCATTTCTACCATATCAGCAAGTTAAGTCTGTTCTTCCTCTAGGGCATCATCAAAATCTCCCTACTTCTCACACTCCCACTACAGCCCCAGTCCAAGTCATCAAAATCTCCAGCCTGGATTATTACAAGAGGCTCCTCACTGGTTTCTTTTTCTACTCTTGACATCCTACAGCCCCTTCACACAGTAACACAGTGATCACTCCAACATATGTTGTAATGTCACTGCTTTTCATACCCCTACAGCTTGACTTGACTCTCATTTTACAATAAAAACTGAAGTTATTCCCATACCTTACAAAATCGTATAGAGTTTGTTGCCAGTCTTCCTACTTCTATTTCTCCCTCGCTGACTCATTTTCAGACACCACTGGATATCTGCTTTCCCTTTCCCATCACAGAAATGTTCCCATCTCAAGGTCTATGCATCAGTTGTTTCCACAGGTACCCGAGCAGCTCACTTCCTTATCTGCTGCTGGGATACGTTCACATGCAGCCTATGAACTCTTCCCCTAATATCCTATTCAAATTGCAATTCCTCTCTTAGAGCAGCCTTTGACCCTCTCCATGGCCTATATTGTGATGGCTCATCTTGACTGTCCATTTGACTGACTTGGGAGCCACCTTGGGGATTAGTAAAGCACATTTCTGGGTGGACCACAGGGATGTGACCTTGGGTTCCCTTGGTTATGACCCTGGCCCATTGCTTTCTGGATCTTCTTTGCTCTTTGCTTTCCAGATGCCATGAGTTGAGCAGCTTTGCTCCACCATGCCCTTCCACCATGTTTCTTCCTGAAGCCAGCCTACCATGAACTGAAACCTCTAAAACTGTGAGCTACAATAAACCTTGCTTTTAAGCTGTGGCCATCAGGTGTTTTGTTTCAGTGGAGGAAAGCTAACCAATACACTCCTGTATCTTTTTTTCTTATCTGTCTCTCCCATAGCATATAACCTCCAAGGAAACAGTGGTTTTCACTTGTGTTTTTATCACCCCGGACAGTGCCTGACACATAGCAGACACTAAATACTTGTGGAATATACAAACAACTATATTCAAACAACTTAAATATAAATACTTTAGTATTCTCCAACAAATTGTACATCTAACTAATGTTTTTCTGATGTTCCCAAATCCTTCTCTCAGGGGTGATTGAGAAAAATGCTGTGTATCATTCTGAATCTGTTAGAATGCTGTTCCTTGGTTTTCCCTCTTCTGTGTATCCTGCCCTGCAAGGTATTGGCGTGACTATCTCTGCTGTACTAACACAGGGAATTTCTGATGCTCTGCTTGCCGATGCTTAGACTTTATGCTTTAAGTACTGTATCTTTATCAAGAACATTTCCATAGCTCTGGCTATTCCTCTTACATAGTAGAAATCAGGAGAATAAAATCTTCTTAGGTTGATTAAGTGCCCACCTCCATTAGCAATGAATGCAGAGACTCCTGACATTATTTTACTTATTTAATTACTTCATACCTTTGTGAAGACCTTCTCATGAAATTCATATATCAATTCCATTTATTCATTTGTATAATCTATATTATTTGCTTGAGATTCAGCCGGCTCAGCCTATTTAATATCAATACTGTTTTTTTTTTTTTTTCTGACCTACTTATATATATATAAGGTCTTCCTCCAAGATCTCCAGCAGCTGGGTGCTTCAGCAAGCAGGAAATTCTGTAGCCGGCAGTTCTTGCTGATTGAGCTAGAAGAGGCAAAACGATGCGTTTTACTTCCAGGTGCTAGAGCTGGGTTTTCTTATTCCCTGGTACTATAAATAGCCTCCAGGGCACACTCAGGGACACTGAACATTTTCTTCACAGTCCAGTTTAATGTTTGCAGAGAGTCACATGCTGTCTGGCTCAACTCAAGTCACTTGCCCCTAAGTGCCTCCTGACTTCTACACAGAACTACACAAAAGTGCTCATTTGCTCATAAACACAGCATTTGCCTTCACCAGATCCTTCTGTGCCTTTGTGTATGCTGCCTTCTCTGCTGGGCAGTATCCTGCTTCTTCAGCCTTTATCCCAAGTGAGAAAGCTTTCCCTATTGGGCCAGGCAGGAGGCGCCTTCCTGTTCCCCTGTGATCATCCCCGTAGCAGCGGTGCTCATTTCTTCTGCAGAACGTCAGCATTTCAGCACTGCTGACCTCCCTCCTCCGCTCACATCCAAGTTATGAGTCCTGAGACTGTGACTTCAGTGTCCTTGCATCTGTCCCCAACAGCACAGGAAATGCCCAGAGACCCCTGGGCGGTGAATGACTGATAGCGTGAATGGAAGAAATTGCAATCAAACAGGGGACTAGAATTCATTTGAGTTTGTTCCTAGTGTAATGCCTTTAAAAATAATTCTGTATTTAGTTTAGATTGTTTTGTTTTGTTTTGTTTTCCCTAGCAAACGCCCTCTACTATGTGCTTGGCCAATTTGACAAAGGGAAAAAGATATTTAGATACACTTCAGGGGAGTTTTTTGTTTTGCCTTTTTAATTTCAAAGGAACAGGCTAGTTTACTCCTTACGGACTTCTTGGCATCTTTCTTTCCACACGGTCTTTTTGCCTGGCCCAGCCTGCATTCAACTTCCTCCAAAGGGTCTGCTGTAAACAATGATTTTTGTGAGGTTGTGTGTTCTTTGCAGTGAAAACCCGCCTTGTTTTCTGTTGCTAGGCAACCCCCTTCCAGCTGCCATTGAAGAAATGCGCGGTGGTGGGAAATGGTGGGATTCTGAAGAAGAGTGGCTGTGGCCGGCAAATAGATGCAGCAAATTTTGTCATGCGGTAAGAGAGAGCACCACAGCGCGGCCTCCGCCTTCTCGCCTTGTCCCCGCCCCTCCCATGAGCCCCTGGCCTTTGAGAGCTAGTCATTGTTGTTAATGAGCTGTAGCACACTCCTTAGCGTCCCTCTAGCTCAGACACCATGGAGTTCATGAGAGTGCTAAGGGCGGCGAGGGAAAGTGCCCGGATGAGGTACAAAGCCCAGGGATAAGAGAGGTGCCCACTCTGACCCTTAGTAAGGGCAGCGAAGAAAAGCACAAACGCGCCTTCTCCGACCTCCTTTTAGATGATACAGTCCGTTGCTGAAAACTTTCTAAATTGCTCTATCAGTAAGGCTAGCTCCATATAAATAAACGTTTTAATGTATTCGTTTTATTCTTTACCCTTGTCTTCCTAGTTTTTCACAAAAGCGTCTGAAGGTAGTAAAGTAAGATGTGAAGAGGGGATTAATATGTGCATAACGAGGAAAATGGGAAAGGAGGAGGGGGAGTAAGCTTTAAAGAAAGAGGGGGCTTGGTCAAGGGCCTGGGCAGAGTGGTGACGTCAAGGTCCCTGCAGGGGGCATGATGAGGAATTGCCCAGGACATGGGTAGAGATCCCGAGGCTCTAGGGCACCCGTGGGCACTATTTTGTGATTGTGAGCACACTACTCAGCAGCCGGGTGTGGAAGCAAAGAGTGAAGGGTTGCTTTGCTGCAGGTTTGAGATTGGGTGCGGGGAGGACCGGGGTGAGAGCCTGGAGAGCTGTGCTAGCAAGCATGGGAAGTCAGAGGCAGGCCTGCAGTGGGGGCGGGAAAGGGGGTGGCTGTGCCCTGTGTGGAGGAGAAGGGGAGGGGTCCACACGGTGGGGCGCTCAGAGCTGAGAGGGGGCTGGTGGTGAAGAGGAGGGAGAAATGCCTGGAGAAGAAAAGCCCAAGAATGGCCCACTGGAGTATGAGATCGCAGAGCTTGGCTTTGGCAGGGGATGATTAGACAAGTTGTAGAAAAACAGGACACTTGTTACTGAGGAAGTAAAGGAACAGTAGAGATTAGACCCTGTGGGGATCATTCAGGTCAGATCCTAAGTCCTAGTGAAGTGGAAGGACCATCAGCCAGGGGCCAAAGGGCTCCATGACCAGGAAGGCTGAAGATCCCCACTACACGGAGGGCAAGAAGCTGAGCAAAGGAGCAGGGAGATTTTGTGTTTGTGTTTTTTCTTAAGGTTAAGTGAGTGAGGAAGCGGCAGAAGATTGCTAAAAGATCCCCAAACCAGCCCTGAGCACTGAGCTACATGGGATAGGAAGGACTGCTTTAGGGGCTTCTGGGGAAACCACTGCCCAAGGGGAAGGCCAAGTTCCCTCTTAGAGGAGGAGAGGGCCTCCCTGAAAGACGCTGTCTCACCTGCTGAAGCCTGTGGCGGAGGAAAGACATTCTTACCTACCTTTCCTTCATGGGGTGCCCTAGCATGTTTTTTCCAGTGTAGGACTATCTTTTCACCTCGACTACATCTTTTTTGCAGTACGCACAAACAACAGGTAAATGGGGGAGGGATAGTTTTCTTAACAAGTCAATGCAACATCTGTTTACTGTGCACTTTCCATGTGTAGGGCCTTAGGTCGTTTCTGGCTGTGGTACATCGAACATTGCTGAGGTGGGCTTGTATCCTGGCGATGTGCTTTGGGAGACTGAAGACATAGATGGCAGGGGTCAGTGGGAGTTTCTGAGGAGAAGCGTTGTCTCGGCTGAGGGAGTCTTCTCTTCGTTCCACTTTGGATAGGGAGAAGGCCTTTTCCATAGCTGTAATGGGGGGAAATCAATAGAGCCTGCTGCTGTGTCATGAAAAATGAGGACAATGGAGTGTGTGTGTGTGTGTGTGTGTGTGTAGCGAATGTGTGTGTATGGGGGGGATTGGAGAGAGATTTAAACCACAGGACTGGATGAAATCAGGGACCAGAGCAGGGTTGGATAAGATAGGCAGTGGCCCTGGGCCCACTGAGGAACCCACTCCAATACATCGGCTTTAGATGAGGCTGAGGAGCCAGCCAGGATCACCGCGGGTTAGGAGGACAAGCCCTTGCCCTTGACTATGTCTGTGACCTGCAGTGCGTTGTGTCCCCTTCACTGGGGCTCAGGCTTCTAACGTGTTTGAGGAAGGGGGTTTTTCTGTGATGGCAACTCTGCTTCTACCTGTGGGTGTATGAAGGCGGCATTAATGTAGCAGACATGATGTAGCTTACTTTAAATTTTCAAATTGCTTTTGAGTATAAGTTTATTTGCCCTTTTACACATTGTGTGAGGTAGAAGGCATAGACAGTATAAGCTCACAGGTTTGGAAAAGTTAAGTGATTTGAAGTGGCCTTAATATAGTATGGGAGGAAGCAATGCAGTAAATATTTTTTTCTATTATTCCCAACTCTGTGTGTGTGTGTGTGTGTGTGTGTGTGTGTCTCCCCTTAGGAAGAGGAGTAATTTCAGTTTAATGCTTACAAGGTTTAAGCAACATAGGGAATTATCTAACACTACAATATTTATCCCAAATAAACAAGACTGTTGGCCTTGTGTAGCCTTCTTTTGATATATACAAGTTCAGATTTAATGAGTACCTGTGATTTGAGTGTCCGACACAGTATGAAGTATAATGATCATAGAAGGCTGAGAAAAGTGAGCATTGAAATGGATTTAAGGACAGTAGCATTGTAACTAAAGCTATGTGTATGTGTGCCTTGGATTAACATAAAAAAATTGGACTATTTCTGTATCACATTGAAATTTTACCAAAGTTTAACAAATCTTATATAGGATTCCCAACATGGGAGTAGTAAATGTTTATAAATTATTTTTAAATTATTATTTGACCATTTACAGATTTACTCATAAGTAGTTAATACAGATTTTAGGGAGCATATTCAGAAAAATGAGAAAATATCATATTTTCAAAATTAAATACTTAGTATTTAATTAGGAAGCATGTGGCCAGTGTGATCCTAGACTATAGGGTAACGTGGACAGATAAAGTGAGAAAGGAGACCCCAAATAGCCCTGCCTGTACGTAGTGATGTACCAGATTACAGTTCAGGCTTTTAGGACTAGAATATAAGAATTCTGTCATTTTCTTTGCTTAGATATTTTCAAGCACTTCTTCCAAAATGTTGAAAGTCAACTCCCCCCCTTTTAAAAGTGCATACTTTGCTGTATAATCAAAATAATTAATTTGTAATAAAAAATTAAAAAATAATTCTGTTGAGTTCAATACATCCTTAAGGCCTGTGAGACAGAAATAGCAGTGATTGTATCCTGGACAAGACCTGGAGGGGCTCAGAGTCATAGTTTAGATGACATGATTTTGGTGCCTTTTGAATTATGCTCAAATGTATGCTTTGTATACTTAACTATATGTATCCAAAAATTTTAAAGTAATTTTGTGATTTTTCCATTTTAAATTTTCTCTCCACTAAGCCCATGCCTTGCCCATTCTACTTCCTAATTAAAGAATATTTATTTCTTGCCAGCTTTGGGATCAGATCTCTTTTAGGATCATGAGCAGTGTTACTAAGACATTATAGCCATTGATGTCTGTTAATTTTGCTAACAAGCAATAATGCGAAGTTTGAAACAGTTTTACACAATTATGCCTCATTAGAAACAATTTGACTGTATTAAATGTGCCTTTTATATAAATCTATGTAATTATCAATTTAAGAACCGAGGAGCCAAAATTATAGTGTGCTTTTCCTAAGAAAAGAGATACAGGAAATTGTCTCAGATATTTGCACTTGCAAAGAAAGTTCTCCTAGAAGAGGTTAAGGCAGATATTTACACCAAAATGTTTTGCTATTATTTTTTAGAAATCCCTTTATATACTTCACTGTTGTGAGCATTTTCTTTTATTATCAGGTCTAACCAATATCCGCAAATTGTTCTTGAGCTTGTACTCTGGTAGGAAGTATGAAGGGATCCAGAGGTGTGAACCACAGAACATACAAAAAATCAAAGTACTTACTCATGGAAACTATCTTGTTTCATTTTCTAATGACAAGACAGGTTAACAGCACTTTCTAGCAATGTTTAGAGTTCAAAGTTTTAATAAAGTGTGGTTGCTTCTCAGATGTTACCAAAAGCCATCAAAAACAAAGCTTCTTTAAGAGACATATGTCTGAATTTTAATCCGTTTTATGTGTATCTTTGGAAAGTTCTGTTAAATCACAAGACTAAACTTCATACCGCAGCCTGGCGAGCCAGTGTTAAGTCATGAGTTCACTCCGAGTGAGGATTCTCAGGAAATCACACAGGATATGTGTGATGCCACCAGAGGTCTGTAGGCCCTGTGACTGGCTCTCCCCAGCTCCCCACAAAGCCCTCAATGCTTATTTTCAGTGAGATCATCAACTGACTGACAAACTGACCTGTAGTTGGCAGAAGAACCAGTCTCTCATTGCTCAGCAGGAATGAAAGAAAGACTCTCAAACCAACACAAGTTTCTACCTGGGATGTCCTGATATGGTGGGAATCCCGGGGTAAAAACAGAAACAAAATCTGGGAACTCAAGTTGATCAGCTGAGTAAGCATGTGACCAATTCCATCTCTTGGGGCACATTTGTAGAGAAAATTAATGTGGTGTGATAAAATATATGGTGAATATTTAAATTTTAAAAATATTAACATAAAAGACATACTGCCTTTAACTCCCTTCAAAATACCTCCCCTCAGTTGGAACACATTTATCCTGTTATTCTTGCCACTTTCAGTATAAGTTCTGGAAGTCCCCTCTTGTGCATGTCTTTCATAAAATGATTACAGTGTGCCTTCACCCACCTTATTCATTGGAGCTGACCACATGATTTCAGGCTCTCCCCCAAAGTAAACATGACCATGAATGGTAAAGGTTTTTAATTAATTCAGGACATTGAGGCTACAACAGCAAGACACTCATGAAAGAGCACTTACAGAACTGCTTCAGGAAGTAGCAAGAATGATGGGACAAGTGTATTCAAAGAAGGGGAGAAAGGGGAAGAAGGTACAATGTGTTTTTACTGTAATTAAAAAATCTAAACATCACTGTGGTTTTCAGTCACACCTCATAGTAGCTGGCAGAGACTTCAAAATTTGTAAACTACTTTTATCGATAAATATGCTCTGACTTGCTACAGTAGTAGAAAGTTGGATTTAACTTAATGTGGCAGGAGTCAAGTTAGACATGTGGGTTGGAAAGAAAAATTAGGACACAGAAACCAAAGAAAACCTAATGGAAAAACTATAGCTATAAATATGCATTCAATTATATTTCCATGATATTTTTGGTTGTGACATTCTTGAGCTTTTACAATGAGTGAGGCATTATGAAAAGCACCTTTTATACATTTCATTTAGTGCCTCCAGTAACTCAGTAAAACAGGAAAAGTCACTATCTTCATGGCATGTAATGGGGAAACAGAGGCCAGACAAAGGAATTAATTTGCCTAATGTCCCACAAGTGGAAAGCCATGGAATCTGGATTTGAAATGGCCATATGTTTTCACTGTGCATGTTCATAAGACATTGTGACCAAGGGGAATAATTAGGATGCAGGGGTGGGGCTTTGGTGGTGGGAGTCCTGGGACTGTTTGCTTCACTGGGAAAACACTACTAGTGCCTTCCCCTTAGAGGAAGTGGAATGGTGCACTTCTTTGGGTGCCATGTCATCATGTCTTCAGCACTAATCAAACTATGCATTGGTCAGAGTAGTGAGTGTCTTGGTTACTTTTCTCTCATTGCTGGGACAAAATACCTGACGCCTAAAATTAAAGAAGGAAAAGTTTATTTCGCTTACAGTTCGTGGAGGTTTCAGTCCATACTTGGCAGGTTACAAGGCAGAGTGGCACATGGCAGAGGGCTACAGCTCATGGTGGTAGAACACAGCCAAATCAACAGGCACAAAAGCCAGGAATGGCCTCAAGCAGCCTCTTGCTCTCCCTTACATATGCAAACTATCCACCCCAGGGCAGGTGTAGCTCTCACACCCATAATCAATCAAACTCTAAAAGCCTGCCCCATGACCACATGAGGCTTTAGGGGGACACCCAGACACAAACCATAATAGTGAGACATACATGACTTAAGTGCATATTATATTGCCCTGAATGTACTATTATAATTTATATTTGGGGAATAGAAAGGAAAACACAGGCAAGTATAATTCCTGTATTTCTTGAGGTTTATGGTTATGCAGAGAACACTACTTCCTGAGCCCTAATTTCAAGCCTAATACTCCCTGTCCTACCACCTCAAGTATTTTAAATAGAACAAATACATTCTAGTTACTGTGTCTTTTGTTTGGTAGATCATTTACTTCTGTAGCTGACATTTTCTCTCTTCTAAAACAGGACTAGTCCTTTGACAGCACTTTAAAGATGCTGATGGTTAATTAGTCATCGAATGCCTATTAAAAGTGAAAGGTGGTAAAATACAGTTATTTGTGAATTGAGCTAGAATGAAAGTTCCTATTTGAGCCATTATAGCTGACTTGCTTTAAGAGTATTAAGTCATTCTGAGATGCTTGTTCTTGTGTCTCTAGATGCAACCTTCCTCCCTTGTCAAGTGAATACACTAAAGACGTTGGATCCAAAAGTCATTTGGTGACAGCTAACCCCAGCATAATTCGGCAAAGGTAAGAGTTTATGACCTCTGTTTGTGCAGAAGTACAGAAGGAGTCTTCTGAGTTACTTAGCATCTTAAAGGCAGTGAGAGTGATTCAATTTGGGAAGCAAAGAGGAAAACCATCTGCACAGGCAGGAAAGATGAAGGAGGGAATCGTAAAGAAATGAGGCAGGACTGTGGGAATCCAAACGGTGCTTCGTGCTCCCTCTAGTATTCTGTTTCTTACTGTTAGAGACAGTAGACCTAATGTGAAGATCAGTGGTTTTGCTCAAAGAAACAGCATAGTATCTTGCTTATTACTACCACTTTCAATTTTTGGTTTCATTCCCAATTTATTGGTTGCCAACTATGAACTGAATTAATAAAACAAAATAAAGGACCGATCTACTGCATCTATGTGCTTTGAAATAACAACATTGTCAGAATGTGGGTGATTATGGTGACAATACAATATTATAATATTATGATATTATGGTACATTATTATATTATATATTGCTTTGTTATACTACATCATATCTCATTTGGAATTGCTGATGGAAATGCTTGTTCAGCATCAATCCCATAAATCTCTGCAGCTGCTTGGGGAGCTTCTGAGGGTCAGAGCCGTTGAGGAAGCCCATCCTCTGAGCTGTCCATTCTCAGTTCTAAGGACTGTTTGTATTGTGGAGAATGGGTCCATTTCTGAGGAAAGAAGGGTCAGACATTGTCTTTTAGATCTTCCTATGTACCTAGTGCTGAGGAGTGAGATATCCAGATGTCTGGGCCCAGCTACTTGCTGTCTGAGAAAGTCTTATCAAGTAGACAACACAAGTGTTTATCCTTGTTTTGGGTTCATAAGTAAGTATTCTCATAAAGTAGATATTTCAAAATGTAAGCAGTTGATTCTTAACTTTGCAAAATGCTCTCCAAACATACTATTTTCTTTCAGTAATGGATAAGACTTTTTCTACATTGGAAACAAAAGTATATACTTATTATTAATCTTTTAAGTTTTGTTACACTGGTTGAGTAAAAGTGATACATTTTTAACTTAATTTGCATGTTTTGGCATATAAAATGGAGTGAGTTGGTATTGACTGTATTTCTTCTTTGAATTGCCTGTATTTTTTCTCATTTTTGCTTCCTTCTTTAAAAAATATTTTCCTATTGATATGTAGGTATAGACCTTAAGACTTTATTATATATAGCAAATGTTTGCCTTTATTTTTTCACATGGATTTTAACTTATGCAGTATTATTTGAAAATTTTTATGCAGTGAAATTTTTTAGCCTTTTATAACTTCTTTTATTAAAAAATCTTTCTGGGGGCAATTTTCTTTGCCCCATGACACTCCCATTAAAAATATTATCATATATTTTGTAGTGTGTTTATAATTTAATGTTTCATATTTAAGAAATGTAATCTATGTGAATGTGTTATTTTTATTTTTTAAAATTAATTTTATTGGTACGTTTTGAATGTATTATTTTTAAGAGAAAATATATGTTCATTATAAAGAATGAAGATAAAGAATGTACAGAAACATTTTTCTTTGATTAACTGGAAAATTTTTATATTTAAATACTTGTAGATTCACAGGAGATTTTTTTTTGCCCAAAAAATGAACAAAAAAGGTTCCATGAACTCTTTACCCAATTTTCCCTAAAGGTAACATTTTGTATAGCCATAGTTTGCTACTTTGACTATTATTTTGAAATGGGAATAAGATAACTTTCAAGAAGGGATATAAATGCTGGTGGAGTGGAGTGAAACCTTCAGTGTTTTATATTCAGGAGAAGACCCTGTTTTTTTACCTGAATATGTGGAGTTGTTGGTAAAATTTAAAGAGAAAGGTGGGAAAGAGCATTAAAGCAAGGTGACTGAGAGAGGCAGAGAGGGAATGAAGGAGAGAGAAAAAAGGAGTAATTGTGCTTGTGAGGAAAAAATACAAAGACACAGAGGGATAGGGTCAAAAATTAAATACAGATGAGGAAAGTAAACCTCTTGGTAACAACCTAGGCTAATAGAAAGGGGGAAAACGCCCAAACAAGCAAAATCTGCTATTAGTAACATTGGCAAAGAGTTACTATTTCTTTATGCCAAGTTCCACGTCCTTTATTTACATTGCCTCACTTTACCCTCAAAACAATCCTCCTAGGTAAAAATGAGTCATCTGCATTTTTATATACAAATTGGAGAGGTTGCTCTAATTGGATCAGCCTACTGAAGAAACCTACTACTGTCTTTTTCCTTCCTTTGCTGGGTTTTTGTGAATAGAAAGTAGGAAGGATCAATTCAACATCCAACCCATGAATCACTGGATTTCAACCATGCTTGTTCAAAAAGCCTTCAAAATAATTTTTTAAATCAATCATCTCCTTGGTTCTTTTCATATTATCTAATTTTTTGGCATAAGGTGAAATTGTTGCTGAGTATAAATTTACAGCACATGATATATTATGCATATGCTGTAAGTACCTATGGTCAAAAATCTCAAGTGTGGATTTAGCTTTTTTGATGTTACATGTCCTCATGTCAAAGTCAATGCTCTTTGTCAAATTAATGTATTAAGATCACTTCCATCAGAGAAGACTGCCTTTTTAAATTTAAATACGTGTCACCGTGTCACCCAATCATCTCACTTTCTGAAATGAAATTATTCAACATGTAAATAAAGTGGGAACTGCTGAGAGTCTGTCCTTTGGATAAGATAAAGCACAGTCCCTTCTGCTTCTTCTAGCAGTGCCTTTGCCTTTTCCCCCAGGAGATACTCCCTCAAATGGTAGTTTGGAAATCATTCTTTGGTGGCCTGTGTTAGGTTTCTGGTACAAATAAAAAAACAAAGCAAAGTAAAACATGCCTTTTTGTGGGCATGGGAAGGCCACAGAGTGGAAGAGTGAGAGACAAGGACCTTCTGAGGGCCTGACCTGGAAAACAATGGCTATATAGGGCCAGGCTGGGGGTGGGGTCTGGTGGAGGGTGGTCTGCATGATGTGGCAGATAGTGATTGTGCACCGGGCGGGAAAAGGGAAACAGGATGTTGTAAAAAGGAAGCAGGAAGTTGTAACTTGGTCAGGGAGGAGACAGGTGGAGCTTGGCACATGGCTGCCTATGGCCTGCACCACACTGACTCACCACCATGATGATTTAGCAGAACTTTTATTTCAGTGGGAAACCCATCAGCCTGGTAGATTTTATCCTCAGGTGATTGCTTCATTGTAGTATTTGAGGAGAATAGAAGCAATGGCTTTCTTTTGTGATGTGGGAAAAAAATGGAGTTTGGAAAAGAATTTTTTACGTTGTCAATCTTGAACAAATACATTTTTAAAAAGTGTGTATGTGGAAGATCATGGGAAGAGGGCAGATTAAAAAGGGAGCTCCATAAGGTCAGATTTCACTCCTCCAACAGATATTTTCTAAAATCTATTCTGGGACAGGGAATGCCAAATTGAATGAAATAAACTCAAGCCCCAAAGTCAGCACACATACCCATGGTCTTTATATCTATGGAAGGCCTTTTTAATTTCAGGGACCCCTCCCAAAATTAATTTAAAAATTTTCATGTGTGTGCATGTCTAAATTTTTTTGTCAGATTTTCCAAACGCTCCATTACTCACAATAGGGTGAACATTTTTTGGCCTCACCTGAGTTATCCTGTGGTAATTTGATGAGAAGAATAAATTAAGAGTTCTCAACTTGGTTTTTCAGTTTTCAATAGAGCTGAAAATTCAATGAATCATTTAGCCTAATTCAAGACTTTATGATATTTATTCCCAGAGATGATTCATGTGTTTAGACAAAATACAGCTAAATAAAAACCAAAATTTAATTGGTTATCCTCTTATGACATTAAGAATTCATTTTTGAACTTTAAGTCTGATCAACTTGGAAAATGATTGTCATTTGTACCCAGAGAAAAAGAATGATGAGTCTGCTGTATTTCCTTACAGGGATAACAGAGGAAATAGAATAGAATGACTACATGAACATGTACAGTATAAAATCTTCCCCAAACCGAATTTCTGGCTCACATTGTCTATTTTTTGAAAAAGTTAATGATTTTTTGGTGTCAGTATAGTTTTATATTCTTGAGAGGACGAGATTAATTTTAGTAAGGAATATGTCAAAATGGTATTCCTGGCAAACTTATCTAAAGTTTTGTTACTTTTTGGAAAAGTTGACATAAATTAGGAAAGCATAAAGGCTTTTAGAATAAATGAAGTAAAAATCATGGTAAGTTGACCATTGCAGTTGTAAGCACACAACTTTTAGTTCACTAGAAAAAAATGAGAATCTGATATTTATTTTGAGATTTCCAGTGTAATGTACAGTGATACCTTCATTCCTGAACTCAATTCTTTCAGTGATTCTTGTCACAAATTGAACCGGACTAGAACTGAATCAAATCTCTTCCTATACAAGTGGAAGAGATTTTAGCCAATGGTGATTTTACTAAGGAAATTGGGGGCATGAAGATAATATAAGGGAAAACAATTGTTTATTTATAGGTTTTTAAAAACTAATATGAGCTTGAAGAAAAATAACTTGGATCCAAAAATTTTGTAGTAATTTCTCTCTAAAATCTTACAACTCATTTTTTAGATTATGTTCCTAAAACTTCCATCTCTTCCATCTCTTCTTTCTTCTTTTCTCTTGAAACTCAAAGGCTTCCCAGTCACTAATAACCATGCAGGCTAACATCTGCAGTGAGATAAGAGAATTAATTCAAAGCAAGTTTTAAAACTGGAATTAGAGAAAGAAAGTAGATGAGAAAAAGATGTCCCTAAAAGGATATGACTCTATGGAGTTTGTGGCAATCTTATGTAGTGGTGAAGAACATAGGTGTTAGCTCTAAACAGATGTGTTTCCAATTCTAGTGCCAGTGCCAGTAAGTGCTTCTATTTTTCTAGCTATGTAACCTTAGTTACTTAATCTCCCTTCTGGTACTGAGAATAAAATTGTTTACCTTGAGGATTGCTGAGAAGTGTACATGAGATATGTAGACACCTCCAGGAGAAGCACCATTGG